ATTTTCATTTTTATATTTATATTTAAAGATTTTTTATTAACATTTTTCATAATTCAATTAAAATACTCTTCAAAAGTTAATTTTCAAAATTGTAACAAAATACTTGAAAAAATACGTAATTTTTCAAAAATAATTGAATTTCTTAAAAGAATTTTTGTATAATTTAAAAAACTAATTAATTTTTTCAAGATTTTTAATTAAAAATTTTAAACATGATTTTTTTTTCAAAATGTTAAAAATTAATTCTAAAATGTAATTATTTTTTTTGTCTTTGAATTTTCGAAAATATGTAATTAAAAATACCGAAAATATTGAATTTTAAAAAATTATAAAAGTTAATTTTTATTAATTTTTATTTTTAAATTTACATTTAAAAATTTTTCATTAACATTTTTGAGAATTCAATTATTTTCAAAATTTGCAATTAAAATAGTATTCATCAAAAGTTGATTTTCAATAATTGTAACAAAATACTTGAAAAAAATTCATTGTTTTCAATTAAATTTTACAAAATTTCAATTATTCAAAATGATTTTTTATATAGATTTATTTGAAAAATTAAATTATGTTAAAAAATGATTCAAAAATAATTTTTGAAAGATCTTTCGAAATTCACGTTTCAATTTGTTGCATTATTTAAGTAAAAAAGTCTCAATTTTTGAAAATAAGTCGAAAAATGTATCAATTTTCTTAATTTCCCTGACAAAAAATTTTTTTTGTGTCATTTTCCTGACTTTACTGATATGTGGCAAAAAAAAGTAAAAATACAAGAAAAAGTTTGTTTTTAGGGATTCATTCTAAATTTTTTTCACTTTCCTAATTCACAGTTTTTCTGCAGATATCAAATATGTGAATCATAGTAAAAAAAAAATGAATAAGGTGTTTATAAATAAAAAAAAAATTACAAAAATTAGCGTGAGCTTTTATCCCAAGAATTTTAAAGGCAACATTAGCCTTATTTGCAGTCTTCGGATATACAACCCATCAAATAAATTGGCACAGAATAGAAACTAAATAGAAAGGGATGTGGGGGTTATAAAGAAATGACGGGGAGGGAATGTCGACTGGAAAAAGTCAGGACAATATATTCGCGGGGTGAGGTTTTTTAGAGGGACGAGCACTTCCAATCGATATAGGCATTCGAGTTCTTTCAAAGGAAAATTCCTAACGCTATTAAATCCAATTTAAAAACTTTTATTCTCTCTCCTTCTCTCTCTCTCTCTCTCTCTCTCTCTCTCTCTCTCTCTCGCGTGTGTACTATCCTCTCCCACTCTTTACTTTTTAGCCACCCACCAACCATCGCGAACCGAGATCATGGTAAATTTATTTTCCCTCGCTCCTCTTTGCGAAAAAGAGAGAGAAAATTATAAAGAGAGAGAGGAGAGGAGAAAGAAAAAGAAAGAAGAGAGAGAAAAAGAGTGGGGAAAAAAGGGAGAGAGAAAGAGAGAGAGAGAATAAATTGCTAAAAGGATTTTGGACGATATAACGCTATCTATCATCCTTTTCTGGTCTATATACATCGAGGGTGGATTCTTTAGTTCCAACTTTTAACCCCTCCCCCCTTCTCTCACAATATCTATACTTCCTCTTCCTCCTTCTCATACAGTAACTTTATCGACATCCTATCCCTCAGTATCATGGGTTTTCTTTTTATCCTTTTTTTTTTCTTTATTATTCTCAAGCCATTAAATTACATTCTTATAGGTTATATATATTGTATACTTGTTTTGATATATATGTCCATTTTTTTTTTATTAAATCAAGATCTAAATCTGCTTTTTTTTCCTTTTCTCCTTTTTTTGTGGAGAGAGAAAAGGGGATTTAAAAATGTTTGAAGAACTTAACTTTTTTTTTATGGGAAGGCTTATACTTTTATAATAGAATTTTATATTTATAGTATCCTCTCTTTAATTTTATGGATGAAGAAGAAAGAGGAATCCCTTGATAGTTATATATTTCTCGTGTGGGGTAGACGAAACGTGAAAAAAAAATTTCATTTCTCATTAAACTTAATGTATTTTTTTTTTTTTTTTTGCTTCAAGTTAAATATTTATTAACTTTTGTTCATATAAATTTAGGTAAATATTTAATTCTGATAATAATTAATAATTAATACTCTTTTAATGGGTGATCCCTTTTAATTATATGTTAAATTAATTAGAAAAATATTTTTGATCAATACTTATTTTAACTAGCTAATTACTTTATTCAAATACTTTTCATAATTCATTATTATTTAAATATTAATAAAATGTTTTTACTAATTCAAATTTCGAGAATTTAATTATAATCAGTATTAATTACTATTTAAATTAAAAACTACTTCACTAACAGGAATAAAATCAAAATTGTTTTCATAATCGAAATTATTTTCAGAATATCGAAAAAAGAAGAATAGAAAATTATTTTTAGAAACCTTTGCCCAACGAAATTGAAAATTGAGTCAAAATACATTTTTCTGAGTTTGACGTGAACGATATTTAATCATTAAAAGAATGATTGATTGATAGGGTTAGAAAAATTTAATTTCAAAATATTGAATAAACACCATTTTCGAAATAAATTAAATTAAACGTCACTTTAGAAAATGTAAGTTGATATTATTTTTCGATTGGTGGACACTTTTCCCAATCCGCGTTTCCCAACGACTTTTTTTCCCAATGGACATTTTTCCCAATGGACATATTTCCCAATAATGGGTCGCTTTTCCCAATGATTATTTTTCCCAATAAAAATTTTTCTTACCAAAGTTAATGGTTTAAGTGCTGGTGAATTTAGAAAATAATATCTTGAATAATTTCTTCGGTTAAACGTAAGTTAAAATTTAATGTGGTGTCCTATTGTTTTCAAGTATCGAAATATGTCGTTACGCTGATTATATTCGTTGTACTGTTCTACAATATTCAAAATTTTTTCTTCGATTTCCCTTCTTCGCTTATCCAACCCTTTTCTTATTCGCTGTCCAATTTGTAGTTGGCGAAGCATAATTTCTGTGTCTGCTTGTTCTTTTCTCAGTTCATCAAAAAAAACATACAGACTTGGGTGATGTTTACCAACTACTAATTGGAAGCGATTGTGCCACCCTTCCGATAAGTTGTTTGTTCGAGCAGTTTCTTCCAAAACGGAATTGTAGTCTGTTGAGCCATTCTTTCACTTGAAATTTTGATCGAAAATTATACTAATGGTTATCAATAACAAATGATTTATTTATTATACAATACTATGAAGTTAGTTGGCCATATCGTAGAAACGATTGCAATTGTCCATGGGGAAAAAAAGTCGTTGGGAAACGCGGATTGGGAAAAATGACCATTGGGAAATATGTTCATTGGGAAAAATGTCCATTGGGAAAAAAAGTCGTTGGGAAACGCGGATTGGGAAAAGTGTCCCCCTACCTTATTTTTCATTTACTTTGACATTTAATTAAAGTAAATATAGTTGAAAAAAAAATAATAAACAAAATTCCCCTCAATTTATTCTTTTATAGAAAAATAATTATATTTCACTAAAGTTAAAAATTAATTTTCATTTTATAAATTTCATTAAGTTAAATTCACTTTAATAATACATTTTTACCCGTGTAGAAATTTCGCTGGGGCCCTGATCAGGGCCGGATAGGGCCGACCTATTGGGGAATGAAACGCCGCGCCCGATGTGGCCCTGATCAGGAAATCCACATTTTCTTGTCGCCCCGATCTGGCCCTGATCGGGCGCGGCGTTTCATTCCTTACTATGGCCCTAGTAGGGCAATTTCTACACGGGTAATAATAAATTATTAATAATTTACCGTAATAACTTAATTTTAATATTTTCATTTAAAATTCATTTCATTTTAACATTATCATTTTTCTTTTTCATTACATTATAGTTTTAATGAAAAATAAATGCTTCACAATTTAATTAAAATTCTTTTATGGATATGAAAAATTAATAACAGTATACTATTATTAATTTTTTATTAATAAACAGGGCAGGCAAAAATTTTTCATAAAATATTAATATAAAGTTAAACTTTTTCAAATTAGGAAAACTGAAATTTTTCTTGTAATTTTTCTTTTTGCTTCAATTATTATAAAGAAATTCATTAAATTTTTTAAAATAATTGAATTCTTTTAAAGAATTTTGTTAAAATTTTTAAGAATAATCAAATTTTTCGCGGAATTCATTTAAAATCGTATTAAAAATAATTGAAATCTTGCGATGGGTTTTAATATTTATAAAATTAATTAAATTCTCACAACGATTATTATTAAAATTTTAAAAAATAATTGAATTCCAGAGAAGAATTTTATTATTTATGAAAATAATTGAATTCTTATTAAGAATTTAGAAAAAAATCTTTTTAAAGAAACGATTTATTTTTTAAAAAAATTTTATGAAAATTGTATTTCAAAAAATTGAATTTCTTTGAAAATTTGTAAATTATTTATGAAAATAATTGAATTTTTTAAAGATTTTATTAAAATTCTTAAGAATTCACAATTTAATTAAAAATCTTTTATGGATTCAAAAAATTAATAACAGTATACTTTTATTAATTTTTTATTAATAAACGGGGCAGGCAGAAATCTTTCAACAAATATTAATATAAAGTTAAACTTTTTCAAATTAGGAACTGAAATTTTTCTTGTAATTTTTGTTTGTAATTATAAAAAATTTTTTAATTAATCAAAATTAGTCGAGATTGAACTGCAAATAGAAAAATGCATTTTCACATCAATCCGCTTCTTTAAAAATTATAATAATAATTATTAATTATTAATAATTATTGAATATTTATAATTATTATTGATTAATAATAATAATTACTATTAATAATTAATAATTGTTATTAATTATTAAAATTATTAAAATAATAATTAATTATTAATAAATTATTAATAAATAATAATAATAATAATAATAATTTTTAGTAGGTTTTAATGTAGTGTTGATATTGTGTCTTTCGATGTTTGCACGCACTTTTGTCTTAAGAGCAATTTTTCGTTTTCACGTTGCAGACTTTTCACACGCCCAGTTTCGGCGATGAGGATTTTGACATCCCTTCGATCCACACGCACTCGCATCAACAACATCAACAACAGCAGCAACATCATCAACAGCACGACCCAATGCACGCTTATCAATCACAGGTATATTAGCGGCACTCATGATCCTAAAGTTCTAAACGTTCAAATAAACCAAATTTATTTCCTCCGCAAATTCAATTTTTATTCTATTTATTTTTTTTATTTTATTTTCAATTTATTTATTTCTATAATCAACGCAAATAATTTTGCATCACTATCAAAAAATCAATTATAAACTTTCTAAAAGTAAATTTAATTCTAATTTTTATTGCAATCAGTTATGAAAATATTTCCTTCATTTGAACGTTCAAAACTTGTGGATCATCAGCACTCAAAATCCTCATAAAAAAAAGTATTCGAATAATTTATGCAAATTTCCACACACACACAAATACACACTAAGTAGAAATTATTTCAATAAAAAAAATAATCCTATAAAAATCCTAAATAAATTTTCAGTTATAATTTATTCATCAAATGTCTAGAAAATATTTTAGCTTTATTCTGTGAAATATAATGTTAAATAAAAACAATTTAAATAAAGCTATATTTTCACCGTGTGCGGTAATATAGTAATAACAAATAAACAATATTTAATTTTAAACCTGCTAACTGTTTTATCAGATTTTCTCGCATATTCATGCGAATTATGTCACGAGACTCCACTTCATAAAATTTTAAGTGCAACTCAAATTATTTTTAATTGTTTGTTAAACGTAATAACAAAAAAAAATCAACTTTAACTCACGTTGAAATATACCTATTCGATTTATTATGCAACTTAATGACTATTCCGCGGTATTATTATAACTACGAATATAAACGTTCCACGAATAATAATGAATATTCAAAAGCAATACTATAAACAGTACAAGAATAACTAAAACGAAAAGGTAATTTAAATTTATTTCTTTCACTTATTATTATTAACTTAAAAATAGATTCTCTATTTAATAATCCACACATATCAAATATTTACAAAATAAAGAATATTAAATTACAATTAATAAATATTCGCTTTTTTCATTAAATTTTAATATTATTTTTATTATTATTAATTAAGGCAAATAAAACGAAAACGAAAAATTATTATTATTATTAGAAATTATTTTGTTACCATTTACATTTCTTATAATCGTTACTATTTGACTCGAACTATTTTATTTTTATTACGATTTATACAAGAAATTGTATAATCTAATAAAAAAAAATTTTCCTCAATTTTTGAAACTATATAACTGTAAATCGTAATTTTTTTTTCCTCATTTTATTTATCTCCTTTCCATTCTCTCTCGCTGCTTAAAACTAATTTATAAAACCGACAGCTCAATTTTGAATTCTATTTTTACCAACACATCACATATATAATTCGAAAGCAAAATTCATTTCTTTTGCTAAAAATTTTCATGTCTACATTATTATTTAAATTTATTCAAATTTATGCGGCATTAAATATTTTTCATTAATGTTTAAATTTCTTCTTCAAATGAAATATCTACTTCCTTCTTTCTGTAAAATTTGCATAAAATATTTAAATACTTTTTGCCTCCTTTCTCTACTATAGGTATATATTATTTTCCCCCCTCCGATTAATAGCCAAATAACGGAAGGAACAATAAATTTTGTTTTATTTCACAATTGTAATAATTTAATATGATAAAATTTAAACAATATAATAATAATAATAATTCAAAGAATATAATTATTATTATCATTATTATTATTGATTATATTATTACAGGGTTCGTACTCGATAATTAATTTTTAAAAAGTAGCATAAAGACAGAAAAAAGTTGTAAAAAAGTAGTAAAAAAAGTAGCTATCGAAAAATTAAACTTGACGACTTAATTTTTTTATAATTTTTTAATTACATTCAAAAAAAGAATAATTTTTGAAAAATTAACATTTAAATACCTATTTATTTTGTCTACAGGACTTAAAATATTTCAAATGATTTCAATTTAATCGATTTCTTCATGTTTTACAATAAAATTTTGATAAGTTGTTAAGTTTTGTTTTGTTCAGTAGGTTTGAATTAAAAATTTTTTTAAATCTTAATTCATATGGAAAAATAATAATGATTAAATATTTATTTTTAATAAAACTATTGAAATGTTTTCGAATAATTTTACAATTAACGAAATTTGTAAATAAATGTAATAGAATTTTGAGTATCTAATAATTTTTAGAGTAAATCAGAATATTCTTTAGGGTCAGTCAAAATTTTGTCTGGAAATCAGGGAAAAACAAAATTAAATATTTGTGGCAACCTTGCAGGGGTGGATTCGGTATTTTTTTGTTGTCTACAAAATATATTGAAATTAATTAAATTATATGAAATGATTTCTTTTGAATTTTCGCTGCTCTTTTTTTTTTATTTACAATGTATATAAAAGAGTTCTCTGGAAAGATTTATTATAGGAAAAAGAGCTACGAATGAAAATAGATGCGAGAGAAAAAAAAAGGATGAGAGTTGTGTGTATATATGTATAAGAAGAAAGACTTTGCAAAAAGCTTTCCCTCTGGGGAAAGATTTTGCAATTATTTAGTCTTTCTCGAGTCATTAATAACAGTTGATAAATTTCTTTTTCCTTGTCTTTTTAAATGAAGATTTATTAAAAGTTGTGGGAGATGAGTGTCAAAACTTTCAAGGGAGAGATTTGAGATGAGAAAATCTCTCTTTCTCTCTCACACTTGCAGAAAGATATTTGAGTCGCACACGTCTCAACTTATATATCTCTCATCCACCGGTTTTTGCATAGAGAGTATTTAAATACCGTACACAAACATGGACATGTCAGAATGATCTATCGGCCGTTTAACTACTTCCGGGTCGCGGCATTATTCATATTCCATGACTTATTTTTAGTATTGTTTTCTCCCTATGGATGTGAGGTGAATAATATGCAATACTGTCATTTCAATTATTCTCCCCCTTTTCATATTATGTGAATATATCGACAAAAAAACTACCGTAAAACTCATTGTTATTGTTGTTTATTGTAATTACTTTTTTTGTATATAAGGTTGTGAAAAATCGGCATCAAAAAACTTTTTACTATTCTTACGATTTACTACTATTTGGATATTTTTTTTTTTATTTGTAACACTAAAAGCTATACTTTTTTCCATGTTTGAGAATTTACACTACTTTAAATTTTTTAACTCTTTTCATGAATTAAGTTATTTATTATTTTAAAAGAAATTATTGTGAGAAATAGAAAAAATTGAAGACTTTGTATTAGAATTCGTATAGTAATTTTATAGTTTATACAAAAAACCATCAAAATTCAGAGTTTTCTTATGAATTTAAAAAATTTAATTGTTTCCACTACTTTCACTAAAAATTCTTTACTTTTTCCTGATTTTCCTGTTCCTAACCTGTGGCAACCCTGTCCTACGAATTTAGAGCAAGTAGTAAAAAAACTAAAAAGTGGAACCAAAAAAAAGAATCATTAAAAACTGCATATGTTAAAAAAACTATTTTTCAATTTTTAATAAGAAAATAAAATTTTCAATGTTATTTTTAGATGATGCCAAGTGGCGGAATGCAGCAGTCGCCAGATGGATTGAGCTTGGATCCCGGCGGATATCAACAACCGCTTTACCTACAGCAGGAACACTCTATGCAACCAATTAGCGTTAGGTAAGGACTTGCCTTTATTATGTCAGAAACATGCTGCTCTCTCTCTCTCTCACTCTAGAAATTCTCAACTGACTTAAAAGCCTTTAAATTGCTTCCCATTAAGCAAATTGAGTATAAACGCGACAAAAACCCTTTTTGAAATAATTGACTCTAAATTTATTGTATTATACGTACTTAATTTTCAGAATAAACTTAATTATCTAATAAACCATTTTAACCTTATTTGAAAGAGAAAGAGAGAGAGGGAGAGAGCAAAGCATGAAAAATAAAAAAGAAGGGGGTAAATTTTACTTTGAACATACACGAATCTATACAACTCTAAAGGATCATTTAAATATGCTCCAAAAATTCATAGCATTCAAATTTCCCTCATTTATAAATGAATTTAAATTAATATTTTCAATATAAATAAATATTTTTTTTTAATAAAAATCATGAATCTTTTTTTCGCAACTTGAAAATATTTTCGCAATTTCGCAACAAATTTTCGACTAATTATTTTTTCCTTTCAACTCTTTAATTGAAATTCAACTCCTCAAGGGGATGACAATTTTTTTTTTCATCGGCCTTTGCGGATTTCGACACATTTTGCAAAGAAAAAGAAGACTACAACCCACAAATTTCCAATAATTTTCGTTAATTCTTTTTTCAACTTCAAAGGAATTTTTTTCTCAAATTTTCAACAAAAAAAAAGTCAACATAAAAGGGCAAAAAACTTTGGAACATCAATAATAAAATTCAAAGTGAACAAAAATAAAACAATAACAATAAAAAATTCCATATCATGGAAATCGATTCAATGCTAAATACCAAATAAATTTACATTCAAACTGTCTTTCGATTATAAATATTATATATTTATGGAAAATAATTTATTTTATTACAAAACTATAATATGTATTTTAACGTTCTCCTCTTCTTGCCCCCCTTGCCAGTAAAATTAACTTAATTAAATTTTATGTACACTGTCGTAAACTACCATAAATAGTGAGTCATATAGCGAGTGACTCACTTTCATATTAAAAATTATGTCTCGCGAGATTCTTAATTATTTCTTTCAAACTAAGGTTTTCAAGAACCATAAAAAAGAAGTTTTTTAAATTACTTTTTTAATGGAATAAAATTATTATTATATTCATATTCTACTGGTATTATTAAACTTACAATGATTATACAATAATATACAATATTACATAGCAGAACAATATTCACAATTGGATTTCATTGCGACAATAATTTGATTATATTTCACTGTTTTCGAAATTATTTTCTACTTTAATTAAAATAATCAGCTAATTCCAAAATTAAGTTAAAGTTCACAACGTTTATAATTAACAATTTAGAAAAAAAAATATTTTTCAATTTCTTTCTAAAAAAAAGGTTTTATATTTCTTGATCAAAAACTCAAAAATAAAGATTTGTAAACATATTGTTTTTTGTAAGAGAAGTATTTTTTTTCCAATATTTGATCTTAAACTTTGTGAACTTCAGCCACGTTATAAATTTATAAACCAAAAATTCATAACGTTCAAATGAATATTTTTGTTACTCTTTTAATTTCTATTTGTTAAAAGGACACATTTCGTGTTTATTTATTTGTTTGTTAATTTTATTTCGTGAATTATTAAAATAAGAATACTAAAAATAATGGAAGAAAACAGTTTATAAAACTAATCGAGAAATTATTTCACAGTTTGTCCAATAAAAAAAGAAATTTGCCATCTTTGAAATCCTATATATAAAATTTATGAGACACTCGTAAAAAAAAAAGTTGAGAGGCAAAAAGGCAGTAAATTTTTATTTAAAAGCTCTCATGATCAGCGAATTTTTTCCTTTTCTATTTCTTTTTCTTTTCTGTTTCTTTTCTTCAAGAAATAACCTTTGTGTTTCGAGGATCTGTCAGTGAAATTTTTATTGAGTATCGCTTTCTAGAGCAAAGAAGAAGAAGATCCTATCATGCTAAATTTCCTATTCATGGGGTCTTTCATATATATACATATACATATACATATAAACATTAAAAAAATGAGAAGCGCGGAACATAAATTTTCAAAGCAGATCTCAGTGCCTTGTTTCTACAATCTTAATGGACTTTGTGTATAGGAAACGATTTTACTATGTTATTCTTTTTTTTTTGGCTCTTTCTTCGCAACAAAGTTTATGTATTACCAGTGCGAACACCTGCTCTATCAGAAATTACGACTCCTGAGTTTTTGTAACGGAATTCATAGCATAATCTAAGTTTGAAAAATTTTAGCTTTTGAATTCAAAGCAAGGCCCGAATCAGTGAAAGTATTTAAAAATACGGACTTTACGGAACAAAACTACAAAAAAAAATTACGGACCATTTACGGACCAATTAAAAAAAATAACAAAAAATATATACAAAAATATTTTTAAAAATAAAAAAAAATGAGAAAAATAATAGAAACAAATAAGAGAACATTTTACTTAAAACTATAAATTAAATTTTATCATAATTCTATAAAACATGAAGAAATCGATAACTCCGAGTCTTCGACTCGGAGTAATCGCTTTCTTCATGTTTTATAATTTAATTAAAGATGACCAAGTAATAAAATCATTATTTTATATCATAAGAATTTTGTTACTGCAACTTCTTCAAAATTATTTCCATCATTTCAATTCAATTATTATTTTCTAGAATTTTTAACTAAAATTTTTCTTTAAATCAATTATTTTTAATAATTTTCGAAAAAGTTCTTTGAAAATATTCAAAACCGTTTTTTTACAATTCAATTTTACGAAATTTCAATTATTCAAAAATTCTTCAATTAAATATATATTAGAAAATAAGAAATTAAAAAATTTTGTTAAAAAAAAAGGTTAACCGTTTGAAAAAAATTAACTTCACAAATAGTTAGTTAAAATTTTAATTTTCAAAGATTTTAATCTTTTCCAGAATTCAATTATTTCTAAGAATACATGCTATAATGCTTTTAATATTCAATTATTATTTATAAAATGTTAACTGAAATTTATTTTTAAATCAATTTTTATTAGAAAATTCCACTAGAATTCAATTGAGGGGCTGGATGCTATAATGTGTTACGCGCCATTCATTTAACATGGCGCGTAACACCTTATAGCATCCAGCCCCTCAATTATTTAAATACAAAAATTAATAACTTATTGAATAATTGAATGTTTCTTTAAATTGAATTCTCATAAAGAATTTTATCAACAAATTTTTAAATAATTCAATTCGTTAACAAATTGTAATAAAATTTTTAAAAATAATTACATTTTTTGAGAAATACGATTAAAATTGTATTAAAAATAATTGAAATTCTGCAATGAATTTTATCCTATTTATGAAAATAATTGAATTTCTAAAAAGAATTTTATTATTTCTGAAAATAATTGAAATCTAAAAAAATGTAATAATAAATAAATAAAAAAAATAAAATAAAATAAATAAAAAAAATAAAATAAAATAAAATAAAATAAATAAATAAATAAATAAATAAATAAATAAATAAAATAATAAATCTAATAATTGAATCTTTGTAAAAAAAATTTATTATTTATGAAAATAATGAAACTATTGCGAAGAAATTTATAAAAAATTTGTAAATAATTGAATTCTTTGTGAAATTTTTATTATTTTATGAATATAATTAAATGTTTGCGCAGAATTTTATTAAACATTTTTTAAATAATTGAATTCTTTTGGAAAATTTCATTAAAATATTACCTAGATATTAAAAATAATTATTGATTCGAAGAATTTTATAAAATTTTTAAAAATAATTGAATTCTTCTCAGAATTCGATTAAAATTTTCTAAAATAATTAAGCCATTCAAGGAATTTTATTCAAATTGAGAAAATAATTGAATTCATTCAAGGAATTTTATTAAAACAAAAAATAATTTAATTTTTTCGAACAATAGATACTATTACAGCATTTGGTAATAATTGAATTCTTTCAAAAAATTTCTTTAATTTATTGAATATAATCGATTTTGTTAACAATTGTAATTAATAATTTTACTATTAAAATTTTATTAAAATTATTGACAGAAAATTATTCTTTTATTAGAATTTTTGGAAATAAATAAATTTTTTTGAAGAATTTATTTAAGTATTTTTCAAAATAATGTAGTTTTTTGAATAATGTTAATTAAACATTTTGAAAATAATTGAATTAAAAAGTGAATTTTTTTTCAACTTTATAAAATAATCGTGTCTGTTAATAATTAGAATTAAATATTTGAATATTGAAGTTTATTACAAATTGTATTGAAAATAATTGAAAACCTGAGAAGAATTTTAATATTTATAAAAAATAATTTAATTTTTGCTAAAAATTTTACTATTTATAAAAATAATTGAATTTTTTCAGGAATTTTATTTAAATTTTTGAAAACAATTGAATTTTGAAGAAGAATTTTATTATTTATAAAGATAATTGAAATTTTGATAAGAATTTTTAAAAAATTTTGAACATATGATTGAATTTCTGCAAAGAATTTTATTTCTTTTGAAAATAATTGAATTTTTGCAATTATTTGTAACTTCTTAAAAATTCTCAAAATTATATCGTTAAATTTACTAACTTTTCTAGCGTTTTCAATCAAATTACGAACTTTACGGACCTTTTTTCTAAAAAAAACTGACTTTTACGGGATTAACGGACCTAGTTCGAGCCCTGATTCAAAGAAGATGGCATATGGTGTTATATATATGTGGAATAAGAAGAAAGTAGGTTAGGAAAATTATAATTGAGATATTATATTGAAATTGCTATGTGCGGACTAATAGTGTATATTCTAACACATTGTCTTCAATATATATACATAACAGCAAGCAAACTATATCTTTGTAACCTAAAAAGACGTAAATTAGTGTCGAGCGAGAGATATAACAATTTTAATTTATATATTCTCTTTAAAATTGGTACTTGAACTGAATCTCTTCGGGGAAAAATGATCTATATTTTATAGTGCGCTCCTTCATTTTTATAGAATATCTGAAT